TATTCTTCCTTACTAAGTAATTATTAACCAGGATACAGTAGTAATGTATTCGTTTATTGTTTGGTGTATTGGCATCAATTTTTGTGAAAGTGCAAAACAAAATCTACTGGCAAATTATTTATTATTATAAACATACGCTTCTTAATTAATATGAAATTACAAGTCCAACAATAACGATTATATTATTTAAATTCATTATTAAAATAAAAGACGTGAAAATTGTTTAGCACTTATAATTATTTGTTGAATTTTTTGAAAAATTGACAACAAAGTTTGAATATTATTCAAAGAAATAAAAATATTCAATATTTATACATTTAATAACATAAAAAAAATTTCTTTTAATAATATTATCTTTGAATAAAAAATGTTTACACATACATATTTTATTATAATTTCAATTTATAATTTAATATTCTACTGATTCAAAAGTGTGCTCCTATTATTTATATTTTTTCCTAAATTTTTAAAGTATTTTCTAAACAATGAAGTTAAATGTTACCTCTATAAGGATATATCTCTTTATAAGGTATACCTAAATATATATATAAACCGAAAATATTTCAATTTAAATGATATCACTGGCACAAGCTTTTATGAGGAATTTGCCATTCCATTAATTGATTATTTTCACATTGACTTCCAATCGGATTAACAAAATTATACTTCATAATTTATTACTACCTTCTAATTCTAATATTTATTATTTTTTCTGAAACCTTAAATATTATTTAACAATAAATTATTTCTCACCAATGACTTTGACATCATATTGAAAATGGAATATCACTTTTCCCGATTTCTACAGCTCTGAAGACCTTACGACGCAAATTGAATATGAGACATTTTACAAGCGGGGATTCTTTATATACCACTAGCAATCACTTTCAATTCTTAATTCATGATACCGATTAATTATATGTTACATGTAATGTTGTTTATTATAACTATTATTTTAAATATATGTATACCTTAAGTGCACTTAAGTATATACGCATACATATATATATATATGTATATTTGCGTATACGCTGTTTGCTTATACATATTTATATATAAAAATATCAATAAATAATAATAAATAACTATTATAAAGTTCTTATACATTGTTATTATCCTGAAATTTGCAAAAAGGCAATTTAAACAGAATTTCTTTCTTTCGATACTATTTTTACTTGTGTAATAAGAGTATTTATTTGCTATAAAGAAAGAAGCATTACTTGTTTAACAGGAAATTCACATGTTTTTTTTAACATTACTATAAATGAAAACGAAATACACGTTTTTCAAGGAAGTACTTTATTAGCGTTGATATATATTATTATTATTTAAACTAGTTATATGATAAATAAGCTTAAAGATAATTTAAACATAAATCTTTATAGCAACTCATTTTCATAAAATTTTATTATACAAATGAAGCAGCTTTAGCTTCGGCTTCTTTAATTTGTAACTCAGTAATTGTTGGAACTATACCACATTCAATTTCTTCTTTCCTTATAAATGCAAGTTTTTCTGCTTTCTCTTTGAAAAAATCCTTCTGTTGACCTTGTAATTCTGCTTTATACGTATCAAGTTTCTGTTGAATTATTTGATCACATCGTTTTTCATGAAGTTTTTTGGTTGAATATTTAACCGTTAACCTTATATCTTGTCTAAAATAAACAATAGATTTTTTTAATTAAAATATTTATTTTGTAATGAATTAAATTAACTTCACAAAATTGTTTTTAAAAATTTAAATACGTACTCAAGAGGTGGATGATAGGTAAGATTAAGTTTTTCAAGTAAAAATTCAAAACGAGAATAATCAATGAGTCTCAATTTTTTTAACCACTTTCTTCTCTTTTCAATCAATTCTTTCAAAAAAACTTTTGATTGTATATCTTTTTTACATATATTATAATGCTCTTGTAATCGATGAATTTCAACAGTTGCTGCAGCAACTATAAAAAATTAATCAAATTAATATAAATGAAATATTACAAATTTTAGAATGAAGAAATTTGTAACAACATTTTTGCTTAAAAGACAATAATAGGATTTATGATTGTGGACAGAACGTTAGTACTTTAAGTATTAAGAATTCTTGTAATTACAATATTAGAGCGCATGCTCTGATTATTTTATGAAAAGGGAAGTTAATTTTATCAATATTATATCAATATCAATAAATATTGATTGAAGAAATTCAATTAATCAGTATTTAAATTTCAAGTGTGAACATAATTTGATATATAATTTGAACGATCTTTGATACGAATAAAAATAAATTAAAAAAGAAAAACAAATGATTATCTTTTAATAATATTTTTCTTTTCAAACATAAATTTCTATTTAAGTCATAAAGTCGTACGTTCATTTTTAATTAATACTCATAACGGTATTTAAAAACATATAATATAATATATTCATTTAAACGAATCAAACTTAATGATCAATCATTATATTTATATTCCAATATGCCAATACTCAATATAAAATAATTAAAGTAATTCATAACTTGTCTATAATAATACAACAAAAACTTTTAAAATCAAAAAGAATGTTATCAATTTATAATTGAGAAATCATAGAATTTTTAAATTAAAATATTTACATACTTCTAGATTCCATGGAGCCTCTATCCAGCTTATGACGTTGTACTAATTCAAGAGCTTTGATTCTTCTAACATGAACTAATTCTTTTTTACGATTATATTTGACACTACATAATTTGTTTAAAATCTCATTACAGCTGTAAAAAATTTAATATCGTTAATAAAATTTCTATTATTTTTAAACATAAAGGTTAAAATATATAATAACTTATTAAAAAATCTAATAAAAAAATATAATAAATATAAAATATATAATAATAAATAAATTACACGTATTGAATTATAAATTTCTATACAATTAAAAATATGTTTGAATTTAATGAATTATATACTTTCGTAAATATATTACAATTAATGATTTTTCTAAAGTAGACAATCATTACACATTAAACTATTATTGTCTTTGTTAAACTTTAAGAGTAATATAATATATTATATCGCAAAACTCTCGCAATCCATTGCATTTAAAGTTAATTTAAAAAATGTAAGAAATATTAGTTTACTTCTGCAATTCCTTTGATTTATCAAAGTGTTGAATATAATCTGTTTCAGCAATTTTATAATCTATCCCACCATCGCCGCTCTTCTGTGGCTCAACACTACATATTTTTATTGGCATTACCCATTTCTCTGGTAATGTCGGATATTTGGTACAATATGTATTTTGTATTAAATTTTTGCTGATAATGGATAGATTCTTAAATTGTCTGCGTATTATATTCATTTTCTTTTAAGCTTAAAATATTATTAAAGAATAAAACTGAAATAAAAATTAGTTCAAGACACTAATAGATTTCTTTTACATTTATTCTTCATTTCACTCAATACAATAATCTTAAAATTATGTATTATAAAAAATGTTTTGCTTTCTTATTTATAATTCTCTGAGGTTAAAACTCTATAAAAACTGAAAACTCTGTATTACGTGTTGGATTGATCATTATAAACTATAAGCCGCCATACAATATTTTAAAGGCACATTCTGATTTACATTGACCAATAACTTCTTCAGCGACACTTTTCATGCGTGCACTCTCTCTCTTTTCACATGGCTTGTCTTCATTGTATCTTCTTAAGCGATTCGCCATACGCCATCTACCGGCGCCACTATCAATTAAAATACGTTAATTATTTGAATTTTAATGTATTCTACTTGGACAGAATTTAATTATGCTTCCTCTGACTTACTATCTATTATCTTTACAAATATTATCAAATTACTAATATAAATTAAAAATAATGAGTATACTAAACTTTAGATGAATTAAAAAATTTGTATGAAAAACAAATAAACATTTGTATAATAATAAGTCAGTATACTCAATAATTTTAAATTTCATTCTTCCAATATTTTAGTAATATTCCTGTAGTATTATTATAGTACCATCGAAAGTGTAATACAAAACAAAATTATAAGAAAATTATAGGATATGAATTTGTAATATTTTACCATAAAAGTAATTTTTGTAATAAGTATGTTGAAGTACGTGAAATAAATAAATTGCGTAAAATTTTAGCAAAATATATTACTTATCGATTTATTTTATTATTCGACTTTCATTAATAAAAGCAGTTTTCAATATAATTAACGCGTAATAAAAGAAAATTGATAATGTTACATACAGTAATGAAAAATTTGAAAAAATTGTAAAAAAAAAAATATATTAAAGAATAAAATTTAATTCTATCGTCTTATTGTTTCTTTTTAATCACTTTTTAATGTCCAAATCTAAATGGCTTCAAATTAATAGAACTTTATTTAGAGGGAAAGATTTAATATAACATATGTGGTGTACAAGTTTGATGGTAAAAATATAACACAAGATTAACTATAATTTTTAAAATTTCAGTTCCAAACATGCCGTTCAAATGTGAACGATTTCTATTTTATAGACAAATCGTGAATTATTAATGTGAAAACTCACTTTATTTAGTTGTAATGAATACACATGCCGAAATGCCAAGAATGCATATAAAAAATTTAATTTACGAAGCTAAATTAGCGTATTATAAAACGTTATTGGGATTCGAAAGGATATACGAACTCACATACCTGTAGTATCTTTATCTGAAATTATTAAATTATTGAATTGAAGTTCTTTGTGTTAGAAATACACACTTGGTCATGCCTGTACCATGTTCGTTACTCAATTTGAATTTGATTAATTGACTCAAACCTTCTGTAAAAGAAAAATCAGCAGTACAATGTAAAGATCCAAAATTTTCATGATATGCAATTATTTTCCTTTACGCATTATATTGTTCATCAAACTATCATTCCGTGAACGAAGTGAATCTACACTATGTAATATGAGCGTAACTTAGTGTTTATATATGTATATATCTATTAGTTTCTTATATTGATCATCCAATAAAATAATTGTATAAATAATGTTATAATATAATACTACTGTATAATACTACTATAAATAATATAAGAAAAATTAATAATTGATGAATATGTGCAAAATGAATACACCTCCATCCTCACGAATCATTTCTCACTCTCTCCACTCTCTCCACTGTTTCCACTGTTTCCACTGTTTTCGCTCTCTCTCTCTCTCTCTCTCTCACACACACACACACACATATGCTCGTACTCTAATGTAAAAAAAAACGCTGTACAATAATGAGAGAGAAACGTGAAACGTGAAACGTAAAACGTAAAAACGTTAGTCTCTTTTCTATTACAGGAATAACATTAAACATTTTTTTTTCCATTCATCCATTTTCATTATTCACGTAAACTAGCGCTTGAAAAAACTGGATATAAATTTTCATTCCAATGTTGAGCATGATCTCATAATCAATAGATTTTTTTTAGATTTCATAAAAATAGTTGAATCATAAATTACAGATATATAATGTCGCTGTCTCGCTCGTTCTCGTGCTTGTTTGATATACACTGCATGTATGTCGCGAGCTTTATAAGCATCGCTTACTTCGTCATTAGAGTGACGGCGACAGTGACTACGCAGCAGCTGCGCTTCATTAGACCCGCATTCCTTCCATATATCCAGCAACAATGCTTAATTAGAGCGACATACAATTAATTAAAGTAGTTAACTTTGTAAACTTAGATTTATGATTCGTCCAAAAATAAATTGAAATATAAATATTGCAAATAATGTTTTATAAACATTAGATTAAATAATTGATAACCTTATAAGTATTGATTAACATCAAAAGAATTGTCATTAACTCCTTCATGCTTTTCATATGCTTTTATTTTATAAGCAATAAAAGTAAAAAATTGATTTTTAAACTCCTTTTCATTTGAAGCTATATAATCCGTAATATCGAATTATACTTTGGTATATTTGGAAATTTAATTTAGTTGAATGCCAAAACATTGTCATGAAATATATAATTAATACAGTTACTTTGATCAAATAAATTATAATGCAAATTATAATTTATAAAAAAAAAAATATAATTATCTTTATAATACGCGTATGTGCACAAAATATAAATACTTCACATAATAAATAAATTATTTAAAGGGATACATTATTTTAGCAATTTAAAAGCTAATATTAATCATTGCACGTATATTATATTCGATTAATTAATCATACAGACTATAGGGATAAAAATAATTAGATATTTGCAATTCATCCTCGCAGGATATACCATTATAATCCACATCCGAATAATCTTTCATAACGCAAAACATTTTCCAATGAGTAATTCTAAACGTCATTATATATCGTTCGTAGATCTTCAGCATTCCTGATTCCTAAATTAACGTTTTTATATTGAAGCCTTAAGAAAAATACATTGCGAATCTTATTTTTTATGGAGTATCAGCTACAAACTAAGCTTACCGTATTACTTATGCGCCGTTATTTTTCAATATATTTTAGGTTTTATATGGATATGGTAAGTGGAAATTTTACATTAGACAGCACTGAATGATATTTATTTACAGTTATTAATCAAATATATTTAAACGATAAGATTTTCAAATCTTTGTCAAAAAAGAAACAAATAATCTTTACGAAATTTATGTGCCATATATTTGTTTATTATTAAAATTAATTTTATAAGTATATATTATGATGATCATGATACTTTATATAATTATTCATATGCTCTTCTTATCTTGGTTAAAATAATAAATTTTGATAAAATTGTATTTAGAATTTAAGAATTTCTAGAATTTAAAAGCTTTACTTCTTTTTGGTCTTTTCAAGATCCTTCATTGTTAACTTTGATATTCAATGCCTCTTCGATTCAATATATTCATTAATTTATTATTTAAAAGAAAATTTCGTTGCATACTTTTACCATTACAATTCTTTAAAAATTACGGTTCGACATTACATATTTTGATTCTTAACAATGTTTTACCGCAACTGATACTTTTATAAATAATTATATTTATGCATAAATAACGGTCCCTATTAAGTGACTATAATGTATGATTCTCTTTAAATAGATATGCCATATATATGCGTGGGATAGAGTTTTTGACTTCACTAGGATTTTATGTGGCTCTATGATATCCTGCGTGTTCAAGTTGATTTCTCCCATAATTTTGAGAATTCCACTTGCTACCGATAATTCATTAACTACTTCGTATAAAATCGTTATAATATTATCTTATAATCGTTTCTCATATTATCTGTTGAAACATATTCATCCGAATGATACAAATATAATTCTCATATTCATTCGTCAATATAATTATAAACGATATAGAAGAAAATATTTGTGAAATTATTTTTCTTTAGATTCATAATGTATAGTCATAATGAACGGAGAAGTGTTATAAAGAAAAGTTGATAATAGTTAATACAGCTCATGCAAATGACCGGTACATTATATTAATTTCCCAAAAATTTTCTTATTTAAGAAATGTTTCATATACCGTACTCTGATCACTTCAATTAATTGTTCTCTACGCTCCATTATTTTTAATCTATTTAATATTAATATTATTTTTTATTATATATTTAGTAATTATTTATTTGTAATGAATATATTTAATAACATTATACATTAATTTATGATATGTTTCTTATGTTATTATTATATTCCATATTATGTATGAGTTTTTCTAGATTGATGTTATTTGTATTATATAATAGTTCCGATTATATTTGTATTATTATCATCGAGCGAATCATATAATTAGACATAAACTAATAATGGAATCACTTTATTTCGCTTGAATTTAATTTTGTTGAATAATTTTTTGTGAATTTCATTATATATATATATATATATATATATATATATATATATATATATTACTCTTCAAAATACACATTTCTAATTGTTATATTAAGATAAAAAAGTCCTTTTTGCTATATATATATATATATATATATATTATGATTTGAAGATTTATTTTTAAATTTCCTTCGTTATTATTTTAGACGTTATTTACATTGAAAGTTTTTAATTTTAATATTTCTCTCTCTAAATTATAATTAACATTTTCATTTTTTATTTTTCATAATTCTAATAGGTATTTCGGCATTGTTATTCCTGTTTATAACGAATTTCACTGATTCTAGTAAAATTATTACTCTTATAAGAATTTTACTCGAGATATATTATTTATTTTTTCTTTTATTAACAAACAAAATATGATTTGTTATTTCTTATGATGATATTTTCAATTATGGGGACAGTATATGGGAATACCGTAAATTTAATGTATTTGTTAGTTCGATATAATTTTATTAACGCACGTATAAATATCTTTTTTCAAAATTACACAATATATTGCATACGGCTATTTATTTTAAATATATAAATAAAAT